TCATCATCATCGTCAGTACCATCATCAGCATAGTAATCATCAGAATCAGCATGATCCTCATTGTCAGCATCACCATCGTCGTCAGCATCATCATCATCATCATCATCATCATCATCATCATCAGTACCATCATCACCATCAAAATCGTCATCAGCATCATCATCACCAACATCACCAACGTCATCATCAGCATCAGCATCACCATCATCATCAGCATCAGCAACAGCATCATCATCGACATTATCAGCATCAGCAACAGCATCAGCAACAGCATCAACATCATCAGCAGCAGCATCATCATCGTCATCATCGTCATCATCATCATCAGAATCCTCATCAGTGGCATCAGCAGCAACATCTTCATCATCATCAGCATCATCATAACTTGCATCAGCAGCATCATCATCATCATCATCATCATCATCATCACCCTCACAATCATCATACTCAGCATTACCAGTATAAGCATCACCGTCGTCATCGTCATCGTCATCGCATCGTCATCATCGTCGTCATCATCGGAACCAGCTTCCGCATCAGCATCACCATAACCATCACCATGACCGTCACCATCAACCTCACCATCAGAATTGTCATCCCCCTCATCATCATCATCAACACCATCAGCGTCATGATCATCATCATCAGCATCATCACCATCAGCATCATCATCATCGTCATCAGCAGCATCATCATCACCATCATCAGCAGCAGCATCATGATCGCGTTCCTCGCGCCTCGTGCTCATTCCCCTCCTCTTGCCCCCACATCCTCATGCGAATTATCCTCACTGCAGCCTTCATCAACCAAGGGGACGCATGCGCCGAGCCGCAGCGAGTGGCGCCAGACGCTGGCGCGGGCCCCTGCGAGCAGGCCCAGAAGTGCGCGACCAAGGCAGCACGACGCGCCGAGCGTGCCTCGAGAGCCACCCCCCGCAACGGTGCTGCGGCACACCCCACGCCAGCCACCCCAGCCACCCTGAGGGAATCGCTGTTCGTCCACCGGGTGCCCACACCTTCACACGACAGTGGTGAGCCACGCCCCGTTCAAAGAATGGCCACGAGGTCTGGGAGGCGCACCTTCCCAAAGTTAGAACCAGCTCCCTGGACACCACCACGGCCGAAACCTCGAGCGGAGCGCCCGCGCTGGCTGCGGCTGCGCGTCCCTGGGGCCACCTGCCGCGCGACGCCACGAGGCGCGGCGGCAATTCTGGCGCGGGCTTTGCCGCGCCCGAGACGATGGGGGACATGGGCGAAGATAGCAGCGAGAAGAGGAGATACACGGGGGCTGGAAGCAGTAGGAGCGAGCACGGTGCAACCCGATAGTAAGGATGCGCGGCTAGGATGCAGAGCCCTCGGAGGCCCAAACCGAAACCGAAGTTGGAAGTCCGCGCCCCATGGCCAAGGACTGAAGGCTGGGACGGGCCAAGAGGCAAGAATTCAAGGGCACCTTTGGCGAACGACTCGCTCTGATGATGCGGTTTGACGATAGAACGTCTGTATCCGCCATCGTGCCCCCGGGCACGTTGACGCGCGGTAGGATTCCAGGGGCTACCAGGGACTGTCTGGTAAGGTTTCTGTGATAGTGGAAGGGCTTCCTAACGCCAGGACGTCCCTTCAGGGCTCTCCAAGACTTTCTAAGGCTACCACGACGGCCCAAAAGACCGCCAAAAGATGGCCGAGCATTGCCTCAAGACGCACGTAAGAGCCCATAAGAAGCGCCCAATTGGTCCAAAGAGGCATCAAAGAGGCTCCCAAACAAACACCCCGAAGCACCATCCATGGGGGCCCTCGATAGGTCAAGATATTGATGTGCCTCAGGTGCGTTACTGTAATGTCGTTAGCTTTACACGCTCTTCGGTCGAAGATCGGTCCATCTGCGGATTTCGTAAAATCAAAAGGCTCACTGAGAGCCCCGCCGATAGCCCCAAGCAGGCCCAAGACGGCCCCAAGCAGGCCCAAGGGGGCCTCTAAGAGGGACCCCCTGACGGCAAAGAGAGCCTCCAGGCGGCCCAAGACAGCCCCGAGACGGATCCACGAAGGTCCCGAGAGATCCCCCCCGACGGTCGAAGGGGGCCCCAAGACGGCTCAAGAGGGCCCCAAGACGGCCCACCACCACTAAGCCGTGCATCCTGCGGGACGCGTGCGCGGAAGAGCGCGCGATTAGCGACTCTTCAGAAAATCCACAACAGAGAGCGAGCACGCGGAGCACCCCGCGATTGCGAAGCAGGCCCCAAGACGGCCCAAGAGGACTCAAAAGAACCCAGAAGACTGCCCCACAGAATCTGGAGACGTCCCTCAGACGGCCCACACAAGCCCCACGAGAGCCCCCGAAGAAGTGGAGACGAAAGGTCTTACGCGTGACTGCCCTCTGGGCGGTGCTCGGCGGATCACCACAAAGAGTTACTGCTGGCAACTGGATGTGTTTCATGGTGGGTTATTCCTTACCGCGTCCTTCCCCATCCGTGGCCCCCCCCGTCAAGCGATGGCACCCCTGCACCATCGGTTCCGCAGGGCATTGGGTCGTTGCTAAACTGCCCGCCCAGCGCCAAGGCGTCAACGAAGATCAGAAAAAGCTGGAGAAGAGAAGGACAAGAAGAAGGAGGACCAGCATTTGACCGCCCGAGCGTTTTGGGCGTGTTCAATGCTAGGCGCAGAAGCCGAAGCCTGGCCTCCCGCGAACAAGCTCACCGCACAGTGCTTGTTTGCACATCCGCTCACGGTACTCACACCATGCATGCCACCAGTGTTGACCTCGTGGCACCACGTTGGCGACCCTGCGACGACACTGTTGGGAGGAAAACAAGCAAACCACCCACGCTGCCAAGGCAATGGCACCGCTCTTTCTCGTGTTGGGCCACCAGAGCAAACCCCAGACGCATCGACGATGCTGCACCCCCCCGTCCCCCCTGACCTTCCAGAGTGCTAGAAAATAGCCCTCCAGACTTATAGACATACCTGGACTGCCTAAAACCTCGACAGGAATTGAGATGTCGAGGTCCTGCTGCTATTTTTTTGCCCTCCTGAAGGTCAGGGCCAGAGGCCCCCTCCCCAGAGGCCCGCGCAAGCATCATGCGCCTCCCTGCGCGAGGCGTCCCCCCCCTTGGGAAGGCGAGGCCCCGGGGGGCCGGTGCGGCTCCAGCGCCCCTCCTCCTCCTCCTTCCTCCTCCTCCTCCTCCTCCTCCTCCTCCTCCTCCTCCTCCTCCTCCTCCTCCTCCTCTCCTCCTCCCTCCTCCTCCTCCTCCTCCTCCTCCTCCTCTCCTCCTCCTCCTCCTCCTCCTCCTCCTCCTCCTCCTCCCCTCCTCCTCCTCCTCCTCCTCCTCCCTCCTCCTCCTCCTCCTCCTCCTCCTCCTCCTCCTCCCTCCTCCTCCTCCTCCTCCTCCTCCTCCTCCGCATCCCTCCTCCTCCTCCTCCTCCTCCTCCTCCTCCTCCTCCTCCTCCTCCTCCTCCTCCTCCTCTTCCTCCTTCCTCCTCCTCCTCGTCCGCCTCTCGCAGGGGGGCTGCCCCTCCGCCCCTTCGGCCTGGCAGGCATGCGACAGAGTGCGACCACAGAGCGTCGGGAAGGGCCTGGCGACTGCCCCGCGCTGAGGGGGGGACCGCTTTCCGCCCGCGCGGCGACTGTGCGAGCCCTGCCCTTGGAGCAGCGCGTGGTGCACGGGACTGCCGCGTGGCGTGCCCAGCCAGTTTGCACCAAGTGACCAGATGAGCTGGCTCAGGCTCGAATTACTGATGACAACGCTGGCCATCGCTCGGACGTCCGTTTCCTGTGTTTTTGTACGGTTTCGCGCGTGGCTTTTTCGCCGAATGATCCAGGATGCTCCTCGATGGTCCTCGCGGAAGGAAAAATGCACACGTCCGACGTCCGAGCAATGCCAAGAACACAGGAAGCACCAGTTGTTGTGGAAGCTACACGGGATGCGCGCGCACGCCTGCACGAGTCACGGGAGAGCAGTAGAAGGACGAGGACTGAGGCCCCCTGGTTCAAAAAAGAGATGCGGGTGAGAGCGAGGGTGAGGTCGGGCATGTCCCCCTACAGGGGGGGTTCGACAAAAAATTAAAACAAGTTTTTAAAATACCCCAAAATAGTCAAACATATTCCAAAAACCGTCCCCTGACTATGCTTGGACTGTTTTTGAACATTCCTCCTGTAGAGGGACAAGCCCGACTTAAAGCGAGGGGCAGGACAAGGAAGGAAGAGGAGGCGGTGGAAGTAGGAGAGGGACGACAGCAGAAGTGGCAGGATGAGGGCAGAAGGTGGCGAGTATTTCCCAGTGGCACGCTGGACAGGCAGCGCGGCCCGCGCGATGCCGCCGCGGCGCTCCACAAAGACGAGGAGGCCTCACCTGATCTGAACAGGACGTCACTCTGCTGGACCACCCAGCAGGCCACGAAAGTGGCGACAGATTCGCATGTCGCAGTACCCTGCGACGGTGAGGTCTCATCTGGTCTGACTGGGATGTCACTCTGCTGGACCTCCCAGCTGTCCGCGGAAGTGGCGACGGCTTCGCAGTTCGCAGCCCCCAGCGACGGCGAGCTCCCATCTGGTCTTGCTACGACGTCACTCCGCTGGACCTCCCAGGGGACCACGACATACCTCCGGGACGTACCTCCGCTGGGCCCCCCAGGAGCCCCCAGCAACGGCGAGGCCACATCTGATCTGAATAGGACGTCACTCCGCTGGATCTCCCAGGAGCCTACAGATGTGGCGACGGCATCACAGCTCGCAGCGGCTAGCGACGGCGAGGTCTCATCTGATCTGGCTAGGGCGCCACTCCGCTGGACCTCCCAGCAGGCCACGAAAGTGGCGACAGATTCGCGGCTCGCAGCCCCCAGCTACGGCGAGGTCTCGTCTGGTCTGGCTAGGACGTCACTCCGCTGGACCTCCCAGCAGCCCACGAAAGTGGCGACGGCTTCGCAGTTCGCAGCCCCCAACGACGGCGAGGTCTCATCTGATATGATCACGACGCCACTCCGCTGGACATCTCAGGAGCCCACGAAAACGGCGACAGTTTCGCAGTTCGCACCCAGCAACCCACGAAAGAGGCGACACATTTGCAGTTCGCAGCACCGAGCGAGCCCCCAGGTAGGACGGCGAGGCAGGCGGTAAGAGGCAGTAGAGGAGAGAATGAAGGAAGAGAGGAGGAGGGAGGCGGAAAGGAAGAAGTTGCGACCGCAGTGCTCTCGTCAAAACGAGAACCCAAAGCAGGAGGCTTGAAACATTTTGACTGACGAAAGACCCAACCATATGCAGTTGCGAGAACCGCTTTGTGGGTACCGGTGTCCGTGGAACTCCCGACGGGGCCACGAAACGCTGTCCTGGGTGGCGATGACGCATGCGGCCTGTGCCACTGGAGCCTTCGGTGGAGCTCTCTATGGGGCCACGAAACGCTGTCATGGATGGCGGTGACGCATGCGGCCTGTGCCACTGGAGCCTTCGGTGGAGCTCCCTATGGGGCCACGAAGCGCTGTCCTGGGTGGCGGTGACGCAGGCGGCCTGTGCCACTGGAGCCTTCGGTGGAGCTCCCTGTGGGGCCACGAAGCGCTGTCCTGGGTGGGTGAAACGCAGGGAGGTGATGAGGCGGATGGGGGGAGGGGGAGGAGGAGGAAGGAGGCGGGAGGCGGGAAGGCGGGGCGCCGTCTCTTCAAAACGAAGACCCAACACCACAGGATGGTTGGAAACAATATCAGGCGAGAGCCACATGTTGAAAAGGATCCGCCCTCCACTCATGTAGCTGTTGCAGATTGTTAGGCTTCGAATATGTTTCATGAAATCTCAATCGGGGGGGCCATATTGAAAACGAATCACCCCACCCGCGTAACTGCTGTAAATGGTCAAGGCGAGGGCGCGCAGCGGCAACGCGAGAGCCCCATTCTGAAAAAGGCCGTGTCTTGTAGACGAGTGTGCGCGACACAGAGGCAAAACAACATCTTACTCGTTTGTTATACAGATCCGTGTAATTTTTGGGAGAATCGAATTTCAAGGTTGTGGGCGGTGAAGAAATATCAAGCGAAACGTCCAGACCGCGCGAACAACGCTGGCGCGACAGGGAGGGATTGGTTGTAAGAAAACGGGATGGGGCGTCCGTGGTTCCACAGGCTTATGGAGCTGGTCTCGCAAACGGTGGGGCCTTTCAGGGGCGGGCCAGCCGTCCTTACGTAGCATTTCTGGGCAAGACAGCGTCTATATCATTACCTCTGAGGGTGTCGGCGTCCAAACACTTCCGCGCTCAGGGAGGCAGCTTTCCACTGTTACCTGCTGGTGGGGAGGATACTGATGCGGCGGGCCGCCTCGAAGGCCTGGGCGAGTGCGGTCGCCCGAAATGCCGCCCTCACTGCGGCGCGGCCCCTTCAGCAGTGCACACACACACACACACGGATGGCACCACGCGCTCGTGGTCGCCCGTGTCGCCGAGGCTGGAGGAGGAGGTGGGAGGAGGAACGAGGAGGGACGAGGAGGGACAAGGAGGGGCGAGGAGGGACGAGGAGGGACGAGGAGGGACGAGGAGGGGCGAGGAGTGGCGAGGAGGGGCGAGGGGGGAGAGGAGGCCAGGCGGGCCCGGTCTCTGTGTGGGGCCCCCGCGTCGCCACGGGCGCGGCGCAGTACGTGGCGCCGAAGGCCCTGGCGGGGGAGCAGAGCTCACGAGGCGGGACGCGGGGCCTGCGCCGCCCCCCCCCCCGCCGCCCCCCGATCCTCTGCCCTCCGCGACCCTCCACCCCCCAGAATGTCCACTTCCACCTCCCACTACACCTGCCCCTTCCACAGCCACGTCCACCTCCCCCCTGTCCGTCTCGCCCTGCTTCGCCGACGCTCGAGTCCGGCCCCCCATCCTCCCGCTTCCCCGCTCCCTCCCTCCCTCCCCCCCTCCTTCCTAATATCCGTCATTATTCCCTCGTCTACCCACCTGGGGGCTGTTTCCATCTTACCAATGCACTTACACATGAGTGAACCATTACTCCCACCTGCTTCCTTCCGACGCCGTTCCTCCTCAGTCATACTCGTCCTACATTTCCTCTGCATTATGTCCCTTCTCCTCCTCTTCCTCCTCCTCCTCCTCCTCCTCTTCCTCCTCCTCCTCCTCCTCTTCCTCCTCCTCCTCCTCCTCCTCCTCCTCTTCCTCCCCCTCCTCCCCCTCCTCCTCCTCCTCCTCCTCCTCCTCCTCCTCCTCCTCCTCCTCCTCCTCCTCCTCCTCCTCCTCCTCCTCCTCCTCCTCCTCCTGTCATTTGCCTTGTGAAAGCGTCCCGCCAGTGCAGGTCTGAGACTGCTGCGGGCTCCCCCCAGCCCCCAACTGACAGGGAGAAGCTTCCTCGTGCAGATACATGAAATCATCCTGGCGAAGGACCCAACCATATGCAGCTGCGGCTCCGATGCCACCTTAGAGCCACATTTCGTAACCAAGTGAGAACTCGGGAAAATGACGAAACAGATCGGGGATCCCTAGGTTTTTGACTGATGAGGACCCTTGGAGGTCCTCTGTGGGAACTCTTGCGGCCTTTTGGATCTGTCTTGAGGCTCTTTGTAGCGCAGGGATCGGGTGCTGCTAGAAGTACCCCTGCCCCAAGGTGCCCCCAGCTGTTCGCACCATTTTGGAGCCACGGGTGCCCTCTGGGCCTCGTGAGGGGTGCTCTGGTGGCCGTCTGGGCCCCCGCGAGAATCCTGGGGACACCTTGGGCCAGGGGTACAAGGGTACCCTGACAAGCGGGCAAGCGAAAGAGGCCAAGGACGAGCCGCAAGAGCAAGGAAGAGCAAGGACGCAAGGGCACCCTGAGCAAAGTCGCGCGTCCTTATTAGGGTTTTTGACTGTACCTATGGGGAGGCCCTGGCAACACCCGAAGGGAGCCTGCTGGGGAGGCCCGGAGGCCGCTCGGGACCGCCCTGGGGCGAGCTCTTGGGCGCCCTGGAGCTCCTCCGCGGAGGCCCTCGCCGGCTCTCGCGGAGCTCTCGCGGGGCAGGCCCGGTCCATCTTGGAGCCCTGACATGGAAAGCCCTGAAATGGAAAGCCCTGAAATGGGAAGCCATCTTCCTCCTCCTCCTCCTCCTCCTCCTCCTCCTCCTCCTCCTCCTCCGCCTCCTCCTCCTCCTCCTCCTCCGCCTCCTCCTCCTCCTCCTCCTCCTCCTCCTCCTCCTCCTCCTCCCCCTCATTATCGAAACCCCTGAAATGGAAAGCCCTGAAATGGGAAGCCATCTTGGGGTTCTCTGGCATGGAGAACCCTGAAAGGTTTTGGCTGCCCTGGCCCCTCGGAGCCTCCGTGGGAGCTCTGGTGGCCTCTTCGGGCCGTTCGGAGGGCCCTACAGCCGGCCCGCATCAGAAGGATGCGCGATGAGGATGCACGGGCCGTGGACGCCCATGTCGAAGCTTCTTGAGCGGCGCGCGGCCGGCGAGAGTGGCCAAGGATGGACCAGGGAGGCAAGGATGCAAGGGTACCCTTGGGAAGGCTGCACATGCTTGGGAAGGCTGCACATCCTTACTATGCGGATTGACTGTACTGTAGCGCTGGGAGCCTGTTGGGGAAGCCCGGAGGCCCATCGGGATCGTCTCGGAGTCCTCTTGGGCCCTCTGGGGTGGGACCGTCGCCGGGTCAGCTGAAGCTCTCGCGGAGCAGTCCTGGGCCAACTTGGTGCAATATTGGAAGTCTCGTGGGGACCCTTTGGGGGCTGCGAGGCCATCTTGCAGCGACATGTCGTCAACAAGTGAGAGAACTCCAGAAACGCGTCGCCTCTTCGCCGCTTGAAGCTGTTTTGGGTACACTTTGTAGCGCTGGGAACTTCCTGGGGGAGCTGGGGGGCAACAGATAGAGAGGGAGAGAGAGGGAAACAGAGAGAGAGGGGAGGGAGCGAGGGAGGGAGGGAGAGAGAGAGAGAGAGAGAGAGAGAACCCCTCCTTTTGTATATCCCTCCTCGCTCCTCCTTCCTTTTCCCTGCCTCCCTTTCCTCTCCTCTCCGCCACCCCCGCCTTCACATCCCCCTTCCATCGATGAGGCCCGCTGCGATCGCGCGGCCGTTTGCTGCACGGACCCCTGGTGCCAGCACCGCCGCCCGGCCTGACGCCGACACTGCGCTCCCCGTCCAACAAGAAGCTCGCGTCGAAGGTCAGCGTCCTTCATCCAAGAGGAAGAAGAGTAGGCGGACGAGCAGGTTCCTCCTCCTCATCCGTCATCTCCTCCTCCGCCTCCTCCTCCTCCTCCTCATCCTCCTCCTCCTCCTCATCCTCCTCCTCCTCCTTTCCTCCTCATGTTCCTCCTCCTCCTCCTCCTCCTCCTCCTCCTTCTCCTCCTCCTCCTTTTCCTGTTCCTCCTCCTCCTCCTCCCATCCTCCTCCTCCTACTCCCCTATTCCTCCTCCTCCTCCTCCTCCTCCTCCTCCTCCTCCTGGAGGGAGGACCGCAGGAGTCGAGAACATCGCCCACGACATCGCCCAGGGTGCGCCGTGTGTGGCCCGGACAGAAATCGCAGCGGTTCCGCTCCGAGCCCTCTCTGCCCTCCACGTGCTGCGCCGTAGCTTGCTCCCCAGGCTGTGCCAGGCGCTTCACTAAACACCCCGCGCACTGCCGAATTGCAAACTTCGCGCCCTAGACCCCGCGCACTTCCAAATCGCGATGTCCCCTTTCTGTATACCTCCCCATCCCTAGGTTGTACCAGACACCCCACGAACTGCCAACTCGCGATGTCCCCACTCTGCTTGTTTTCACCTCCTGTTTGTCGCGCCACAGGTTGTGCCAAAGGCCTTCCCTGGGTTGCGCCAGACACTTCGCGCAACACCAAATACGATTTCGCCACCCTGTCGAACTTCTGTAAACCGCGCCCTACGTTAAACCACAGGTTGCACCAGACACCCCCACACTACCACGTCACAATTTCCCCGCTCCGACAACCATGCATTGGGTTCGCCAGATACCATGTGCACAATAAAATCGCGAGCTCCCCGCGCGTTCTAACCTTCCGTAGGTTGCGCCACACGTAGCGCCATAGGTCGCGGCATAGGTTGCGCCAGACACCCCGCGCACTACGAAATCGCGATGTTTTCCCTTATATGTCTGCCAGTCGTATGTTGACCCAGATGTTGCACCAGACACCCCACACACACTACCAAATCGCAAATACTAAACTCCGCCTGTCTCCCAACGGTTGCCAGAGACCCCGCGCAACCAGGAATCGCAAGTGTCCCGCTTTGTCTACCTTCCACTTCCGAATGCTGCACCAAAGTTCCCGCCACAGGATGCACCGTAGACTGCGCCAGACACTTCGTCAAATATCAAGTCGCTGTGTTCTCACTCTACCTACCTTCCATATGCTGCACCCGAAGTTACGCAACAAGTTGCGCAAGACAGTCAGCGCACTACCAGATCGTGCTCTCCCCACACTGCCAACCTTCCATAGGTTGCGCCCTAGGTTGCGCCTTAGCTTGCGCCGAACATCCCGCGCACCAACAAATCGTGGTGCTCCCATTCTGTCTGCCGCATTGTCCCTCCTCCTCGAGCGCAGACAACCTTTCAAACAGCCGCCCTGCTGGCAACACCAGATATAGGGTGTCACATGCGAACCCTACCCCTACCCCCCCCCCCCCGATTTCTGAGGGAGAGGGGGGGGTTCACTTCGTTCGGGAGCTCCCAAGCGAAGTGAACCCCACCCTCCCCCTCAGAAATCGTGGGGTGTAGGGGTAGGGTTCGCATGTAGCCCCTAAGATAGAAAAAACATCGGAGTCTGGCACCTCACCTCCTTCTCCTCTTCATCCGTCGTCTCTTCCTCAGCCCTCCCCCTCTTGTGGAACGGAAGTTGCCTGTTTCCACCCGCCCCCTTTACTGACAGCGCCTCGTCAGAAAGGTCGCCTCTCTTCCTTCCCCCCACGTCATGGACGAATCGAAACCAAACGAAAACGCGCACGAGGAAATCATACAGTGACTGCGACGCGTTTTCTACAAGAAAGAGGAACTGTAGAATCGGCGCCCACCCAAGAAATCTGAAAATGTGTACAGCAGAATGATTAAAACAAACTGCTCTGGTAACTGAAAACGTACACACATACAGACACGCACACGCACGCACGCACGCACGCACGCACGCACACACACACACACACACACACACACACACACACACACACACACACAACGGAATAGGCGAAGAGCAAATCAGCCACTCAAGAGACGGACCCTGCGACGTACCCAACCCATCTGTATCAAGTGGCAAGAGGAGATGGTCCAAAATAGTATGGATGATGGTAACGCAGGAGCAGTCATGTGTCGCGCAAGCTACACAACATGTGCGCGCGTTGCACGACTCAGAGGACAGCCATAGAAGGACGACGAGGAAGGAGGCCCCCCAAGGATGGCGAGGTCCCGCTCTAACCTGTGGGGCACGGCACTCAGCTGGCCCCCCAGAGAGCCCACGAGAGTGGCGACAGCTTCTCAGTTCGAGCCCCCCAGAGATGGCGAGGTCCCGTTCTGACCTGCAGCAGCCCTTGAAAGTGGCGACAACTTCGCAGCTCGCAGACCCCCAAGAATGGCGACACAAACACGTCATTCCGCTTCACCTCCCCCAGTTGCCCTCGAAAGTGGCGACAGCTTCGCAGATCACAGCCCACCGGGGATGGCGAGCCCTACTATGAGTCCGCGTATGCCGTCATTCCGCTGCCCCCCCGTCCCCAGCAGCCCTTGAAGGTGGCGACATTTCGCAGTGCGCAGCCCCCCAGGGATGGCGAGGTCTAATTTGGATCCGCGCAGGCCCCGACTATGTTGCCACTCCTCAGCCGCCCTCGAAATTGGCGACATAATCGCAATTCGCAAAAGACGCCAAGGATGTTCGGTTTTCATATCAGTCCGCGTGTGCCGTCACTGCGCGGACCCCCCACCAAGCAGCCCTCGAAAGTGGCGAGAGTTTCGCACTTTCCATGGATGGCGAGGTCTACTCTGAGTCCGCGTATGCCGTCTCCCTGCTGGCTCCACCAGCAGCCCTCGAAAGTGAGGACAATTTCGCACTTCGCAGCCCCCCAAAGATGGCGAGGTCTAATCTTAACCTGCGCAGGCCCTGACTATGCTGCCCTTTCGAAAGTGGCGCCAGCTGAGCACTTCGCAGCCCCCCAGGGATGGTGAGGTCTAGTACGAATATGTGCATGGCCCCACTATGCTGGCCCCCATCCCCCAGCCCTCTAAAGCGGAGACAAATCTGCAATTCGCAGCCCCCCCAGGGATGGCGAAGTCTACTCTGAATTCGCATAGGCCCCCACTACGCTGCCCCACCCCCCACCCCCAGCAGCCCTCGAGAGTGGGGACGAATTCACGCTTCGCAGGCCCCCCAGGGATGGCGAGGTCCAGTATGAATCTGCGCAGGCCCCCGACTCTGCTGCCCCCCCCCAGCAGCCCTCCAAAGTGGGAACAGATTTGCAATTTGCAGCCCCCCCCCCCAGAGATGGCGAAGTCTAATCTGAATTCGCGTTGGTCCCCACCGTGCTGCCCCCCCTCAGCAGCCCTCGAAAGTGGGGACTTGCTCACACTTCGCAGCCCCCCCAGGGATGGCGAGGTCCAGTATGAATCTGCGTAGGCCCCCACCATGCTCCCCCCCCCCAGCAGCCCTCCAAAGTGGGGACAAGTTTGCAATTCGCAGCCCCCCCCCAAGGATGGCGAAATCTAATCTGAATTCGCGTTGGTCCCCACCGTGCTGCCCCCCCTCAGCAGCCCTCGAAAGTGGGGACTTGCTCACACTTCGCAGCCCCCCCAGGGATGGCGAGGTCCAGTATGAATCTGCGTAGGCCCCCACTATGCTGCCCCCCCAGCAGCCCTCCAAAGTGGGGACACATTTGCAATTCGCAGCCCCCACCCCAGGCCCCAGGGATGGCGAAGTCGAATCTGAATCCGCGTACGCCCCCACTGTGCTGCCCCCCCCCCCCCCCGCAGCCCTCGAAAGTGGGGACTTGTTCACACTTCGCAGCCCCCCCAGGCATGGCGAGGTCCAGTATGAATATACGCAGGCCCCGACCATGCTGCCCCCCAGCAGCCCTCGAAATTGGAGACAGTGTTGCACTTCACAGCCCCCTCAGGGATGGCGACGTCTAATATGCATATGCGCAGGGCCTGGAGGCGCAACATGTTCTCCTTCGATGCGCCTCAGAGCTTACCGCTGAGCCCAAGAAGCGCACATCGGGACCACAAGGCGAACACCACAAGTTGTTGCACCTACACTGCTAGCACCACATAGCTTACACCACAGATACTGCACCACGTAGATAGGTTTTCGAGAATGTCATTGCCTACTGCCTGGGATCCACGCTGGTATACCTATTTGTCAGGTGCTGTGTATGGTCGAACTGTTGTGCATGATCCGTTGTCTGACTGATCGACTTGTTGGGCTCAACACCAAAAGATCGCATGAGATTGCCAGCCAACCCTTCGGCGCTCTTCACCCCCCCCCCTCCACCACCTCCCCGCCTTACCCTCCTCACCTTATCTTCCCCCACCTCTCCCACCCACCCTCTCCTCCTCCTCCTCCTCCTCTTCCTCCTCCTCCTCCTCCTCCTCCTCCTCCTCCTCCTCCTCCTCCTCCTCCACGCCTTCCCCTCCCCACCTCATCCTCCCCCACCTCTCCCACCCACCCCCTCCAGCCTCCCCCGCCTCCCCCGTCTCTGGGGAAACCAACAAGTACCGATGGGGCGCGTCCTGCCTAGGAGATCGAGGCGAATCCAGCGGTGGCGACGAGGGCCTCCCAGGAGGCCCCAAGAGATGGAAACCAGGGAGGGGGAAACCAGGGAGGGGCAGTGGTATGTCGGAAACTGGAGCATATACATTACCAGTGGCGTGCTGTTTTTCAATCCCAGGACTTCGTGAGGGTCGAGGACGACGCTGGGGTGGTGTGGTGTATACTTGTTTCCCCAATGTTCCGAGGAAACATCGAAAAATGTATACACCAGGGTCCCATATACACCAGGACCCGCTCTCCAGTGCAAATTCCAATGCAGGGCCCGAAGAAGCGTCGGTGTATAGAGTTCGATTCTCTAGTATGGGTACCCTTTCCTCCTCTGATCCTCGTCCTCCTGCTCCTCCTCGTCATCATACCTCCTCCTCCTCCTCCTCCTCCTCCTCCTCCTCCTCCTCCTCCTCCTCCTCCTCCTCCTCCTCCTCCTCCTCCTCCTCTTCCTCCTCGTCATCTTCCTCCTCCTCCTCCTCCTCCTCCTCCTCCTCCGCCTCCTCCGCCTCTGAGTCTCCCATCCCATCCTTTCAAAGACGCGCCGGAGGCCGGCGTCCTTCCGTCGCGGAGGCCGCTCGCGGAGGCGTTGGCGGGTACCTCGTCGCCGCGCTGCGCGTGGGGGGGGGGGGCGTGTCGGCGACTCTCTCGGCGGCTGCCGTCCTCTGGGGAGGGAGGGAGGGGGACGGGGTTGGGGGGAGGACCATGGACAGGCAGAGGAGGCCACGTGCGAACCCTGCCCCGCCTCCCCCCTCAGAAGCCGTGGGGTGACGGGGGCAGGGCTCGCCTGTGGCCTCCTGAGGAGAGGGGGGTGGGGGGGGCGCAACCACCAGGGCGCCCACATGCGAGGCCCGGTTTTCGAAGACCGACCAGGAAAGCACACGGCCTGCACCGCGCGGAGTTCCTGGCGCCCCGCGCGGGGATTTCCTGGGACCAGAGCTCCCGCCCCTGGCGGCGCCTCGAGCGCGCGCGGCGCCTCGAGCGCGCGCGCGCGCGCGGCCCCCCGGCGCGCTCCGCGCGTCGAGGAGGCGAGTCCGTCCAGCGCCGATCCCAGAGGGGGGACTCCTCCTCCTCCTCCTCCTCCTCGTCCTCCTCCTCATCCTCGCCCTCCTCCTCCTCCTTCTGCTCATCACCCTTATCATCCTCATCCCCCTCTTCTTATTAGTAGTTCGTAGTATCATTATTATCATTCAAAGTATCAGTATTCATATTATTAGTTTCATTAGTTGTATTAGTCTTAGTATTAGTATTAGGATTAGCATTAGAATTAGTACTAGTACTAGTAGTACTAGTAGTACTAGTAGTACTAGTAGTACTAGTAGTACTAGTAG